GAGTTGTCCTTTGAACCAAACAAATAATTCACATTTATTGTAGTTTTCCTGTTGACAATTGTAATATGCTCTTTTCTACCCATTACAATAGATATGTCCCCTCACAGTAATCACATTCCCTATTTTTCACCCCCCATTTTTAAAAAAGCCAACTCCTATAATTTCTGGTAGACACAGATCCAGAAGTGGGTTTTTAATGGTAAGGAAATTAATTTTTTAAATAATGCCTTAGTAAGATAATAATAATGCTATTCCCTCCCATGAGTTCAGAATTCACTCAGGTGGTCTTTGTTTATGTTTAGACATGGTTACTAAAAATTGGGTATTACAGGTGAAAAGCCTCTGGACTTTTGGCTTCATTAATTGAGACATAATAGTTTTTTATTGCTGCATAACAAATTATTACATAGCAGCTTAAAACAATACCAGAGAGCCCATTTATAATCTCATAGTTCTGTGGGTCTGAAGTCTGGCAGACTTTGCTGGGTTTCAGCTCAGGGCATCACAAGGTGAAATCAAGGGGTTATGTGGGCTGATTACTTGTTTGAGGCTTCCTGGTTCAGGTCACTGGCAGAATTCCATTCATTGAGGTTGTAGGACTGAAATCCCTGTTTGCTGGCTGGCTGGCTGCTGGGGGCCTCTCCCAGTTCCTTAAGGCCACCTGTATGCCTTCTCAAGTGGCCCCTTTCATATTCAAGTCAGCAATAGTGTATGGAACACCCTTCGAATCTCCCTGACTTCCTATTCTGCCACCAGAGGACTTTTTGTGTTTAGTTTAGGCCTACCCAGACAATCTCCCTAAGGTCATCTGTGCCATTGACTAAATTGTAAATCATGGAGTGATATCTCATCCTGTTCACAGGTTCTGGAGATTTAGGGTAGAACATCTTTGGGGGTCCATTTTAGAAATTCTGCCTACCACACACAGGAATCATTAGGAAAACAGTCAAAAATTAACTGGCACAAGACTTTGGCAAACTCAACCTAGGTGTACATAGTGCAAACGTAGGTGAGTTACGGGTCCCGACTAGACTTGCTTCCCAAGCACAGCATGGACACAGCACTTACTGGTCAACTTTCTTTCATCTCTGTTCTCAGGAGAAATTGTGATAATCAACTGTAGAGCTTAAAAGGTGTGAAATGTTATAGTCACTCAATTAGCTCTTCATACCTGCTGCTGTGTGAACTGTTGTTTCACCCTAGTTGTAAGGACACCATGGGCACTCAAGCGGAGGGGGAGGGAGGAAAGCATCCCCTAGCAATATGGTGCCCTTCCGGGTTCTTCTCCACAGTAAACAAGCCCGCCGGTGCCAACAACCAAGCCCACCCGCGCCAAACCTCAGCCAGTCACAGGTCAAGGCTCACTTCCTGCCCAGCCCCGTCCAATCAGCTACCGCCTGTCCACCCCCTATCAAAACCCGGAACGCAGCTCCCTATAAATATACACGCAGTCCTTGAATAAAGTGGAACTTCTCTGGCGAACTGTCAGCTCGGGTCCTGTCGTCTTATCAGCTCAGGTCGGTGCTCCCTTTCACTAGTTACTGCTTACTATTTTTTATTTGGCAACCTTGGAAAATGAATCATTATAAGTGAATCTTTCCAGATAATTTTTGCTAACAATTGCACCTCTTTAAGGACCATTTAAAAATTTTTAAATTATTTTTTAAGGGGTGTTAAAACAATTAACTGGGAGACCATTAGGCTCCTGTGTAAGCAAAGCAAAACCCAATTCAATGTAAACAGCTAAATGAAACTTAAGCTTAACCAATCAGATGCCACCAATTAACCTCCAGCTAGAGACTTTACCTGTCGGAAACTGTCTTCTAACCTCTAACTAGGGACTTTCCACTTTAACTAATCAAACAAATTTTCTTAGTTTTGCTTCCACAAACACCTTACAAAAGTTTCCTCCCTCCTGTCCACCACCTCCAAAGTGAAACACTGAACATCTTGTGGTCTGGTGCTGCCCGAATCAGGAGTGGCTAAATGCTCAAATAAACTTATTAAAATTTTAATATGTCCAAGTTTACCTTTTAACAGTGGTAAAATGAATGTCTTCAGTCCAAGTTTTTTCTTTTAAAATATTTTGTTTGCTTCCCTGTTTTCTTTCTTTTTTTATTGGCAGCTGGCCAGTATAGGGATCTACCCTGTTTTCTTACACAGGATATACTGGGGAGAAAGTCTACCTTTTTCTGATAATATTAGTAAAAATGAACATCTATTGACTACTTATTGTATCCTGGTCTCTCAAGATCATAATTTTAATAATTATGATTATATCGCAGGGTGGAATATTCTTCATTTGTTGTCTATTTCTTTGGTCAGGATTTGTGCTGTTATTTCTCCTTGGTCATTGGATCTGCTTATAATGACATCTTCACTATACCATTTGTTTTTTAAACCTGCGATAGGATGGAAAACTAGGTAAAAAAGTTTGTTAGAACTGTATGTTAAGAAAGTCACCAAGCCTGAGTGAGAACCATTGAAGTCAAGAGTAAAAGAGTTTTGTGATGGCTGTTCTTGTACTTAAAACATTTTTCACTTTAGGTGAGCAGAAAAAAAAAAAAGTAACCTGAAGATAACAGGAGTATTATTATTTTTTGCTATTGTAGTCAATTAATTCAATAAATACTTAATTAATGCCTACTATAGGCCCAGAGCACACTACTATGTTTAATTATTTTTACATGTATGTCTTTTATTCTTTATTAAATATAAATAGCTTAGGACCCGAAACTATAATTTATGGAATCTTTAACTATTTATTGATTTGTTGAAGTGACAGATCAGACACTGACCCAAGGAAATGGCAGTACTGAGTATAAGGAAATTACTCTCCACCTCACCCTAATAGAAATAAATATTACTGGCACTAATACCAGAGAGAAAAACTCTGTTTTCCTAGACAAAAAAAATTTATACATTTTTCTCTTTTAATATCTTCCGATGTTTTTAGTTACACTAACCCTACGTATAACCTGTAAAACTGTCTTTTATTTTATTCTGTTGCCTGATTCATTATATAGCATGAATCTGTCCACGCAAGGAACACGAGAAAGTTTACAACATGGCCTATAATTCCTTTTAGCTTTCTGCATACCTTTCATTCATTCATTTTTATTTATTTACAAATATTGATTTCGTGTCTCCTATGTTCTGGGTACTAGTGACCAGCAGTGCTCATAACAGATGGAGTTCCTGCCATCTCAATATATATCTTCTGCTTCATCATCCCAGACTTTCAAAGTCCACATCCAGCTTAAATCCAATGGTCTACCTCACACTCATCCTTCACTCTGTCGCACCTGGCTCTTCAGGCTGTTGGTTTCCACTCCTTTTTAACCACCACACAAAAAGAGAACTGACCTGCATAACTGAAAGATGCCCCACTTTTCCTTTTAAGTGTCCCTATTAAATATCCCTTTTAAATGACAATGGGGTAAACAAGATTATACTCACTGCATAGCCCTCCTGGCAAGACAGGCCACAAGGAGTATTTAAAAACAAAGGAATTCCCTTTGCCTCCCCAAATTCTCAACCTCCTTCATGCTTCTATTCCCTAATTTCTAGAATTAGATACCTCTTTATTGAAGTATGGATGGGGCAATGTCTTGCACTTAGTTTATGCCCAGTAAAGCTGATTTGATTTTTGATCATGAACCATGGCTCAGAGGGGTGCAGGGGGGACATGGAGCAGATAGTGCTTTTATTTTTTAATGTGTCTGACTTTATCCGTGGAAATAAAAACCATGTATAATTTACATTATATTTAATCAGGAACATACTGAATCCATACAAAATCATGCTTCTGGTAAAGCTGTAAAAATATGTCATACTCCTAAGAAAAGAATACTATCTCAAAACTAGGTTTTTAAAAAAAATTGAAAGATATACTAGTTTTATTTACAACCAGTTATCTTTAGGTTAGAGACTTTCCTTACTGCATATCATTAAATTAATAACTTGATAATTACATATTATTATAAGGTATGCATTTATTTTTTACTGTGAAAAATTTCAATCATATAAAAAGTTAAAGAGAATAGCATATACCCATCAACAAGAGTCAACAATTATGAAATTTGTCATGCTTGTTTAGCTATTTTTTAAAGACAGAATTTTTGTAGCTAAAGGTCATTGGGTTTATTTGTGGTTTTTTGCCATTAAAATGCAAATGTTAGTTTTTTTACAAATATTAGTTTTGAATGTCCAATTTCCATTTGGTGGTAAATGTTTAACAGTATTAAAAGTGATGATGACTTCAGTATAGATAAACTTCCATAACAAAAAACTTCAAAAATAACTATACTTTATTGTTTGCATGTATAGTGAATACTGCTCAAAATAGGGGGTTTTCAATTGAAACATTTAAATATTTAAGCTACACAGAGTTTTGGGGGGTCAGTATAATAAGTATCTAACGTTTTTGCATATATGTGATGTGCCCAGCACTATACTAAGAGCTTTACATGTATCTATTCTTCAAAGAACCCTACGAGATATGCTTACTGGGACTCTGAAGCTGAGTAATACAATTAATCAATTAATTGTCCAGAGTCACTCAACAAATATTAGGCAGAATCAAATTTGTTAAAATCGTATTTTATTTCTATAAACAATGTTTTGAAAGATTAAAAAAAATAATATTCTTATCATTAATAGCCAGTAGATGGTGTAATAAACATGGCATTTTATACAGTCATTGTTTAAATTAAAGAACTTCTGCACAAACAAGCAAAAAGCCAGAATCCTGATGGGAGATGCACTAATAACCAGGGGGGCAATAGGAGGCCAAACGCAGTTCCCCAGGAACAACAGAAAAGGAGCAGCCTCTCAAATTAAAAATATACAGGATATAGAGGAGATTAACGAAAGTGTCATGGGCTTTAAGGCCACATTTTGCAGTTTCTGTATATGACAAATTAAAGAAATATTTTATCTTTATTTTTTAAATTGATAATTATAAATTTGGTCCATAAATAATAAAAATAGTGACTTACGTGTCAACCGAAATAAGTTTCTTTTCCCCATTGTCAGAGGCATAGTTCCAAGTTGTTTCAATAATTCCTATGTAGTAATGCTTATCTTTCGCCCAGCCGGGGGTACTATATAAAAACAGAAAAATACTAAGCATCAAAATCTTCATATTTCCACCCTGTTGGAGCTTGAGAAACAACTGAAATCAGGAGCAGGCAATTTTATAAATAAGGTTTTCTTCCTTTATTTGCTTGATTTACACAGTTTAATGTTGCACAAGAGTACACCGTTTCCTCAGAGCAAATAACATTTTCCAATTGAGTTCAGTTCTCGTAACCCAGAAAAAAACAGTTCTCAGTTGCCAGGCTTCTCTGACTATAAACAGAAAGTCAGCAGTTAGTGTTGGAGGCCCTAGCATATGCGTAGCTCTGTGCCTTTTCCCATTCATCGTGTAAATTCCAGGAGGGCAGAGAACGCCTCTAAATTCTCCCTTTGTTCTCCTAACAATTATGCCACAGCACAGTGCCCTGCATACAGAGAACTTCCAGTAAATCAGGATAAAGATTAGGTAAATGAACCAAAACATGTTGCTTTTTACTATTTCAAAAAGCCTAACTAAAACTTAATTGAAACTTTAAGATATGAAAGAAAATATTTAGCATACCAAATTTAAGTAACCAAAAATAAGAATTTCATTTTAAAGGACTTAACTGTTCTGTGAGCTCTGAACACATCTGCAGAGAAACTTTACCGGATCATTCTGTATTGCTGTATGCAAATAGTTAGCAGAGCATAGTAGGGGCCAATAATTTTGTTTTAATCATCAAAGAAATTAGCCATAAATAAACCTCTCTTCAAAGGCAAATATTGGTCTGAGTAAATGAAAGTATCCTAGTATTAGCCTGGGATTTTTCTCTTTGAAGTGGGCATGAATTTTAGGGTAGAAGGCATTTTATTAAAACCCTGTTTTTAGTCTTGAAATGTGTGTCTAAAAGTATGAAGTGTTTTTTCTTTAGCTGAAGAAAATCCTGATGATAGCTGTTGACATTTGATGTTAATATAATTTTTTTCTCTAAAAAAACCTCAAAGCATTATGTAAGTATTTGACAACGGCTGCTTGTTGACATAGTTTGGTAGTGATGTGTGAAGAATTCATTCATTTAGCAAATATTGTTGAATGAGCCCCTCTGTGTGCCAGTCTCTATTCTAAGCACTGGGGTTACAGCAGTAGATAAAACATCTACCCTGATGGAATTTACGTTGTACTTGAAGGAAACTGACAGCATACCAATGAAAAATGAAATACCCAGTATTAGTGGTGAGTGCTATGGAGAAAAATAAACCAGGGAAGAGGAATAATGAGTGCCAGGGAAAACAGCAGGATGAAGATGGAGATCTGGTGCTGCCACGGAACACTGGGCAGGCTGCTTAATCTCAGCTAAAGTCTAGTCATCCATGAAATCTCAGCCTCAGAGAACAGTTGTCAGATTAACTGAAATGACCCATGTTAAGGCACATAGTGGAGAAGCTCCTTCCACCAGCCAGTAATAATCAAGGTAACCTGATACAGAAAACAGAGTCACAGCACCCAGGATGCCCCAAGGCCTCCTTCTGAGCCTCCTTGAACGAGTGTATCCTCACATCCACTGAGACGGCTGCAGTGGGGCTAAAATCTGCCCCAGACTCCCCTGGACTTATAGGAAGCTATTCCTTTTCAAAGTTGGTGCCCAGAAGGCTCTTTTCTCCAAATGGTCCACATAGAAGAGACACGTTTTAGCAGTTTATTCTCCTAGGGCAGGGAGACTCTTTTAATTGGTTGGAAGCCACTACATGAGCCAGCAGCTGTCCCAGCCATTTCCATTTCTTTCTCATTCTGTATTCTGTGCTTGAACTCAGCCCCAGTGCTGTGGGATGGCAGGAGAGTGATCAGAGCACGGCAACCATCCCCAAATTTGTCTCTTCCAGCAAATTCTACTAGCCAACCATCCAACAAACAAACCAACCTGCTCAAATGGTGTCTGAGGGCTCCAAAATGAGTACTTACAACACCTCTCATACCAGTGCCTGGACCACTGCCAGTGTACTGCGGGAAAGGTCATGAAGTTCATATTTCTGTCCTGTTCTGTAGCAGTTACTCTTCCCGTCAAAATGCACGGAACTGCTGTATGGCGGGAAATGGGGAGAATTCTCTGAATTTAGGACTATCTAAATAAGAGGGAGAACTAACTGGGGGCTAATAATTCACCAGCCACTGGCAGAGTCATTTAGCACTGCAAACTTCATTGCAGTGATTCTAGAGTTGATACCTAAAAGTGAACTTTGGACAATCTTGCAATTGGGAATTTTATGCATTCAAAAAATGCGTAATGAAGCAAAGACAGGGTTGAGACAAGAAGAGCAGGGGCAGAGGGCACCAGAAGAAGCTCAGCGGTCTTAGAGCTTGCAGGAAAGAGAAGAGAGGAATTCAGACTACCAAACAGCCTGTCCTCCTTGCTGTGCCTGTTGAAAGGTTTTTACTTCCAAATTTCGGGGTATGCCTTTGCAATTTGTTATAAGTAACTACCATATGTCTAAGTGAATGGTTTAGAAATCTGAATAGAGTTACACAGCACATGTTTTAATCATTTTCCACAATTTCTTTTCTTGTTATCTTAAAGATTATGGACTGGGCAAGTCTCATCTGTTTCTAGCAATTAAGATTCTGAGGCTGATAATGGCTAAAGTCAAGGAAGCAGCCTCCTTTACAGAACAGCGCTTCAGCTTATTTCTGCCTGGCAGGATGCACTCTCTCCACCTCCACTGTTCCTGTTCATACCCCCTAGTGTCTTTCTTGTTGATCCTTGAGAACTGGCTCTTAACCTCTACTTCATGCCAACGCAGAAATAGCAGGTCATTCTGTCCCTGACCAGTCTGACCACCACACTGCTTCCTTCTTCAGAGGAAATTGTGTAACTCTGGAATTTTATCTGTGAGTGTGGTCACATACAGAACTTCGGTAATGAGTAACTGACTCACTACAGCACAGTGTGAGCACAGCTGGTCCCTTCTGCTCTAGCGGTCAGCTCATTTTGGGAATGGTTTCTTAGATAGGTCCTCGGTCACTCCATCCCCCTTTGGCTGCCTATTAGTGGGTCATGGCCCTGCTCATCAGCTCCTGGCATGTAACGTGGTCACAGACAAGGGAAGAGGGAAAGTCTGGACTAATCTGCTAAAAGACTTGATGATGAAGTCTACAGTACTATGGGAAAGAGACTTTTTTTTTAATGACATAAGGATTTCAATTAATCCTTCATTCTTGTTCTCTTACTACCTTGAATGATATAGAAATCAAAGGATATGATTTATTAGCAATGAAAGAGAACCACGATGATAGAATTTTTTTTTAATGGTTAAAGAGTAACTTGTTCACTGGACTTGATTACATAGAACTTCAATGCATGAGTTTCTTTGAATGTGCTGTTCCTTTGACATCCCTAACCTCATTTCCTCTCTTCCACACCATACTGGGGTAATATTCTGCATAGCTCTTAACACTTTGATTTGTGTTTGGATCTTAATTTATAGAAGGTAATTGAGTGTCAACACAGAGAAGCCAATGCCATTGAAAGAAAAGCTTATTGTTACTCCCAGTTCCCTAGAAATGAGAGGCAGGGCATGACATTCAGGCCACACGGGGAAGCACCACAGCTGCTCCAGACCGTGTTAGCCTGGGCCTCCTAGTCTTTTCCCACTTTGGAAGGATTTTGTCCATTGTCACATTCAGAGCCTTCATTTTTATCAGTTTACTTAAAGGTGACAGGGGATGGAGGGGCCAAATGACTGCACATAAACTGAAGAATAGATCAATATGATAGTTTATCCTTTTAAAAGTAAAGGAATTATTGGTCTTTTTAAATTTAGAGGCACATCCTCCCTGTTTATAGATCTATTCAGAATATCATATCATAGAACAAAGTTTTCTTGGTAAGTATAGAGCTTGAGCAAGAGTGGATATTCTTAAAGCATATTCCTTTTTTTCCTTTAATTTTTCACTCTAACATTTTTGTCCAAATACTGGGTACTCACTATTAGAATAAGACCACCTCCCAACACTTGGGCAGGCAACACACCCCCTGACACTCTTAGTCTTTTGACTCTCCCCTGTTAAGAATGCATTCAGTTCTATTTACTAAATCACACTTCACACATTCATTAAGTCAAAGTCTGGGACTATGTTCTTAAATGAACAAATGAGTAGACAAATTAAATATTATTCTTGATGAGATTTGGGCAACACCCCTTGCAGTTTCTTAAAGAATATTCTAGTTTTATCCGCAATGCCTTTAAAATCTCACACTTGGACTGCTTCTATGAAGGAGCTAGTTACATCCATATTTTATAGGTTATTATTAGTTTCAATATCAAAGAGTGAAGTATTATTGTTATTTTATTCAATGTTATAATAGCATTGTTAATATGTTGATTTTTAAAAGTCCTTCTCTGCCAAAAAGGCGTATTCGAGTATTGTGGGGTGGAATAATATGATGTCAGGGATTTGCTTAATAATACTCCAGGTATCCATGTGTTACACAGCTAACAAGTTAGAAAGTGCAAAGAACGAAAGTCTGACTTTCATTCCAGTTCTCATGCTAAACCGTTTGTTTAACCAATCCCTGCTTTCAACAGTCTTACCTATTGTCTAAAGCAGAGGCTGTTGCCAACCCACAAGACATTTCAAATCTCTTCTCCCTCATTGCTTTCACTGTACTGGCTACAAAAATTCTTTTCCAGTCTCCCTTGAATTTAGGAGTAGCCAGATAATACAGTTTTGACCAATGAGACATAGGCAGAAATTGATCAGAGGCTCCTGAGAAGACTTTTTTCTTTCCTGATAAAAGGGGAAGATGTGATTGGTGCTATACCTTTTTCCTTCTTCTTTGTTTTCAGTGTGGATGTAATACCTGGAGCTGCAGCAACCATCCTGCAACTATGAGGCAATAGTCATGAGGGAAAGGCCCAGGGAATTGGAGACATTGGCCCTGACATCACCAAGGTGCTGAACCAACCCTTCCAGCCACCTACTTCCAAACTTTTTTCTTATACGAGACAAAGAGCATTGATAATCCCCTCTTAGCTGGGTTTTCTGTTACCTATGGCGGAACACCTCCCAACTGTTAATATTGCCAGATACCAGGTCAGAACACGAGTCCCTATCTTTATTTTTCTGGAAAACCGGCAACTATGCATTCTGTAACCTACAGTCTTCCAGTCCTAAGGCAGAGTATAATGTAAGGATTTGCGTTTAAAAGACTGATTCAAATGCCTACCTAGCTGTGAAAATTTCATTTCTTTCTTTCTTTCTTTTTTAAAGCTCGCCAAGGAAGACTTTATTTA